CAAGAGGTTGTGGCAGGAATTGAGGCGGAATATGAATACACATTAATAAGCAGAAAGGAAGCATGAGGGCATTCTTAATTGAAAGCAAAAAAATATGGTAATGGTAATGAGCATTGTACTAGTGCAGAATATGAGATCAGTACAGCTAGAATGAAAGTGTGTTGTTAGGGATTGCATTGGATTTTTGGTAGGCATTACTGAGAAGGTAACTTGAAGTCAGAATATTGTTAGTGAATTACCAAAAGCAACTTTCTATGCAAAATAGTTAGGAGGAAAGGGGTTCTATTAAAATTGAATATTTACCTGGAATTCTCATGAGATGTTACACTGAAGTATGGAAACTCATTAAATCTCCTAGATCATGAGCACTATCATGCACAATGGGAAACCTACAGTTACTGCATATTGGGGACTGAGATATGAGGAAAAATATCAATATTTCTAAGCAATAAAAATTTAGAAAAATAACTTCAATGCTAGATAGTTTTATACCTAATGCCAATTTTATTACTATTTTTTCTATGATGGCACTAAGTTAAATTTTGAAAGAAAAATGGTCTCTATTCAACTTTGGTTGATAATAAAGTTTAAATATCTCTGAAGAGATGATAATCTATGTCTCAGTAATACCTGAGGGATGATGCAATGGGACACAAACCATTAGTAAGTAGTTGAATTTCAGAGAGATGTTGGAAGCTGGTCTAGGTCAGAGAGATAAGCTTCCTGTTTAATTAGTAGGATATTCCTTGCATTATATGCAGTTGTCCCTGTAAATGAAGGTTGAATTAAGAATTCTGAGGAGTAATCCTTTCTAGTAAAAGGAATGTAAGACACTAATTCAGATGGAGGGGTGAAAGTATAAAGAAAAGATCAGGAGTATGTAGAAGAGTGAAATCATCATTGCAAGGGCCTAGTTGTCTGCAGGTGAGTGTGGAAAGGAATAGCCCATCAAGATGGCAGCAGAGTGAAGATTCCAGGCTGGGCTACTCTAAATACCCACAACTAGATTGCAGTAGAACAAAGCCAAAAAACTCTGAAGGAAAAATGGATGAACACAGCATACAGGGCAGAAAAAGGAGAAATAGTCCAGCAGAAAGGGACAGGAAAAACTTGAAGTGAACTCTATTTATGGAAATAAATGGGCAGTACAACCCACAAGAGGGAGGGGCAACGGCTGAGCTGAGACCCTTTCAGTGGTTGACTTCAGTACACACCAACAGAGACTAATGAGACCCAACACTGCACTGGATAAGGGTGTGTGGGGTTGGCTCTTGGGAGTGAAGGTGTGCTGTCAGAGAGCTTCTGGGTGGGGGTATAGAGTGAGGATTACTAACTTGGGCCTGAGACTCTCAACGTAGAACAACTTCAACCCGAATCAGCAGGGAGAAACAGGTTGGATTACCTGTGTCTCTTCATAGGAGAGGCTACCACTAGAAGCTGAGGCTAAGATATTTAGAACACCTGCCATCCCCCCATCCTAAGGTTAAAACCAAAATAGCAAAGGAACATGTGAATGAACTACAGCTCAAGAACCTGTTAATAACAGGAGCAAACTCTCTAGGATAAGGCTCTATGCTGGCAAAGAAAAGAGAAGAAATCCTGGCTTGTGATCCCATATCAGCTACAATCCATACTCAGTGTTGCCTTTACTTCTCAAAAATAGCCTAGAGTGGAAGCAGACAGAAGAATATACATCACACTGAGACCGAGGAGCTGGCCTAGAGGAGGGGGTCATTGTGGATCACCACCATTAAACTCTGGAACCTATAGCACAGTTGGAAGACTGAATCCCTGTCTCTCACTGGAGGTGACCCTTCAGTTCCCCACGGCCCTGGTCCTTGTTTACCTACTACCCCTTGTTAGTACCAGTTCTATTACTTCAACAGGTGGAAATAGTTTATCCCTATTATAACACAAAAAAATTAAAAAATGAAGAGGCAGCACACACCACAAAGGCTGGAGTAAAAAAAAAAAAAATCTTGAAAGGAGTCTCAGTCCATCAGAAATGTGGAATGTGACTGAGAGGGGTTCAAGGTAAGTTTATAACAGTGTTTACGGAAATCAAAAAGAAATGGAGGATATAAAACACTACCAGAATAAAGACCAATAAAACACGAGGCAGTTATAATTAGACATAACTGAGCCGGGAAATTAAGTAACAGAATTAAAAAATACAATTGAGTGCCTCAACAGCAGAAAAATGCAAGGAATAAGGAGAATTAATGAGTTTAAAAGGACAATGTTGGAGAGCACACAAATGGAATAACACAGAGAAAAAAAGAATAAAAATTGAAACTAGCATATGAGATTTTTGGAATAACTTAAAGAGAAATAACATCTGTAGCATGGGTGTCCCAAAAGGAGGAAAGAATGAGAAAGACATAGACAATTTATTTAAAGAAATAATTGCTGGAAACTATCTCAATCTGGGAAATGAACCAGATATCATGATCTGAGAGGTCCAAAGTGTTCCAAACAAAATAATACCAGACAGAACCACACTGGGATATATTATAATAAAGCCTTTGAAAGCAAGCAACAAGGATAGAATACTAAAAGCATTAAGAGAAAAAGGGTAAGCTATAAGGGAACACCAAACTGTCAGCATATTTTTTTAATGGAAACACTGCAAGCACAAAAAAAAAGGATCAGCAGGAAATATTTAGAGTACTTAAAAAAATTTCCAACCTAGAGTCCTTTACCCTGCCAAATTAACATTCAAGACAGAAGGAAGACTCAGTAGCTTCACTAAAAAGCAAAAAACTAAAATTTATCACCATGAAGCCACACAAGAAAGAAGTGGGTTTTTTTTTTTAAGATTTATTTCTTTATGCATACAAGAACTGAGGCACAGGTCAGAAGTGCTAGGGGGGAGCGGTGAGAGGATTCACCAGAGACAGAGTGGGGAGCACAACAGGCAGATCTACCGAAATACAGCAGGTGAATCATGAGAGGTCCACTGCACCATGTGGGTCACCTCCCTGGCCAGGGATGGAACTTGTGCTGCAGTGGCTGCAGATTGCTTCAGACGCTTAACCCTGTGTGCCACCAGGGAGGCCCCAAGAAAGAAGTTTTAAAGGTGTTATTATAGAGCAATGAAAAGACAATGAATAACAGAGTTAATAGAAACTAAATCATATAACATCAGAATTCACTGAAGACAAGAGTGGCCAACAGATCATACAAATAGTCTACCATAGAGTAACTTCATACAAAAAACAACAGAAGCAACACATAAGACAATGAAAATGGAAGCTAAACAAAACATGAAGGAAGATGTCAAAGAGAACACAACAACAACAAAAAAATGAGTATTTATATCTTAATAATCACCTAACTGTAAATGACCAGAATTCACCATTAAAAAGATATAGAGTGGTTGAATACACATCAAAGTCCAATCTTCTGTTATTTATTAAAAACCCATCTCACAAACAGAGATAAGTGTAGATTTAGATTTAAAGGCTGCAAGAAAGTTACACATTCAAATGGCAACCAAAAAAAAAATCATTAGGAACAGATATACTTAAATCTGTTAAAATAGATTTCCAATTAAGAAAGGTAATATCAGGGCCTCCCCAGTGGCGCAGCGGTTGAGCGCTGGGTTGCGAAGCTGCCTGCAGCCTCTGCAATGCCGGTTCGATCCCCGGCTGCTCCCCAGCCACCTGAGGAGGGTCCCACATGGTGCGCAGACCTCTCCTGCCACCCGCTGCTCCCCTCAGCAGTGTACTTCATCAGTCTGCCTGCTCTGCTCTCCCCTCTGGCTCTGGTGAATTCTTTCACCCTCCTGCATTTCTGACTATACCCAGTGCTTGTATAAATAAATAAATAAAAATTTAAAAAAAAAAATCTTTAAAATAAAAAAAAAAGAAAGGTAATATCAGATAGAGATGGACACTATATTATGATTAAGAACCTAATACAATATGAAGAAATAACATAAGTATGTATGTACTGAGTGATGGAGCACCAGGATACATAGGACAATTAACAGAGATATTTATGACAACATAATAATACTGGGGAATTTAATACCTCACTTAAAACAATAGATGAATTAAAAAAAGAATAAATAAACAATAGATTTACATTAGGGGCTAGAAAAACTAAGTCTAATAGACATCTACAGAGCACTCCATCCAAAACCTGTTGCATACACAATTTTTTAAACGTGCACATGTAATATTTTCCATAATGTTGAGAGACGTTGGGACACATATCAACTGTCAATAAAACTATAAAGATCAAAATTGCACCAAGTACGTTCACTGGTTATGATGCCACATAAATAGAAATCAACTGTAAGGAAAAACAGGAGAAAGTATGATCACATAGACTCCAAACCATATGCTGCTTAATGGCTGTTAGATAAATAAGGAATTTAAATGAGAAATCAAAAAATATCTTGAGAAAAATGAAAATGAGGACACAAGCTTCCAGTATCCCTGGGATGCAGTAAAAACAGTTTTAAGGGGGAAGATAATTGCTATAGAGGCCCAGTTTAGGAAGCAACAAGAATTCTAAATAAATAACAGTATATTAGACCTAAAGCAACATGAAAAAGAGGAACAAACAAAACCCAATTTTAGTAGAGGGGGAAAAAACAGTAAAAAAAACAGAATTAAATGAAATAGACATAAAAACACTACATAAAAATAAATGAAATAAAAAGTTTATTTGAAAATATAAGTAAACTAGATAAACTTCTAGTTATGCTAATAACAGAAGATCATATTAATAGACAAAATCAGAAAGGAAAGAAATTACCACAGGTAGCACAGAAAAATGAAGGAACATAGGAGACTACCATGAATTACTATATGCCAAAAAATTAAATAAGAACTGTTACCTAGAAATGGACAAATTTCTAGAGCAATATAGTCTCCCAAAACTAATATAAGGAGAAACAGATGAGTTAAACAATGCAATCACAAACATGGAAGTTGAAACAGCAATAAAAACTGTTATTCAAAACAGAAATCAAGGACCAAATGACTTACCAATGAATTCAGCAAACCATTAAGAAGAATTAATGCTAAAAAATAAATTAAAAAAAGAAAGAAAATACTTTAGAAACATTTACTATATTTAAACATTTTTGAAAAAAAGAATTAATGCCCATCTCACTCAAATTGTTTTTTAAAATGTGAGAGAATATTCCTTAATACATTTTACAGTGCCAACATTACCCTAATATCAAAACCAGACAAAGACAGCACAAGAAAAGAAAACTATATATGAGTATCTCTGAATATTGACACAAGGGAAAAAAAAAAGGGACAGATTCCAGAGATAAATCAATGGAAAATTGGTGGAGCTTCTTAACTACCTTCCCAAAATCAAATGTTAATGGAGTAAAGGATTATCTAGGAGCTTGGACTTTAGAGTTCTGAGGTGAGCCCACATTACTGGTATGTAATGAGAAGGTAGGATGAATAGATTGTGGTACGAGGGATTAATCAGGCTGAGTTGGATGTTTTGCATTTGAGGAAATCAGTGCAAATAGAAAATTCTGGAAGAACAGTAGGAGGTTAAACCATGGTCCATAACAGGAAGAACCGGTAGATTTTTAAGACTTTCCTACTCACACTTGAAATGTTTTCTTTCAGGAAAGAATAGATCATAAAGAAGAGATTAAACAGGAAATGAAAACATTTAGGTGCTTTCAGACTACAGAACATGTTTTTATATTTGATTCTATTCTTCCTAGTTCATTCATTCAATAGATGACAAAGTTCAAGGACAATGGTTCTTTGAAGTTTATCTATCCAAACTAAATGGATAAAAGACCTGAAGAATGACTGCTATAGAAGAAATCATTTGCACATATAGAAAGAAATAATCAGTTGCACCTATAGAAAGAAGAAAGTATGTGGTAAAAAATCAGGAAAGACTTGAGGGAATAAATATAAGAAAAATTGAGGCACAGGAAACTAAAAGAATAGACATTAAGTTTCTTTGATGACTTCAACAGAAAAAAAACAAAGAACCTACATTTGCCTTTTGCTTTTAAATAAATAGAACATTTCCCCAATAATACCAAGATGACTCACAACTCACATTTTATGTATCTTGTATTTTTCCTATATACTACAAAGACAACACAGTTGATTCAACAGTAGTCAAGTCTTACATGTAATTACAGGATCCCTATAGGATTTCTAGTACATTAATGAAAATCAATTTTTTAATTATGGCATAATACAATGAAAAGCTTTTATAGTTGTTAAAACAGACCAAAAACATTTTTCAAATACTCTATAATAGAATTATATCTTGATGTAAGTGAATGCCTTTGCCAGGATGTAGCAACATCTTTTCCTGTCACTAAAAGGACAAACTATAATCCATCTGTCATGTAGAATTTGACAATCTGCAATGCTTAAACAGTAGGAGGGAAGACATGACTTCCAAAATTTTCCCCTGAAGGGGAAGGCTTTCAGCAGTTCCCAATTACTCTATGGGTGGAATGTCTCACTCGAGGCATCTGCTCAGCAGTTAGCCATGAAAACCTATCACACAGGACACCAGAGGCGTATCTCACAATTATTGTCGGCTTTAGTGTAGCCAATTGTTAAGATAGGAGCCAATGGCTAAGCTTCAGGTGTGCAGTATGGAAACTCTTGGTGGTGTGCCAGTATGTGTCCCAGATCTAGCTTTCTATTGCACATAAACTTCTGAGATGGCAATCTTTGTAAAGTTCAAGGTGAAAAAATTCACTGTGAAGTGAGTCTGTGTTCAGTCATGAGCCAAAGATCTTAATACGTTTCTACAGATAATGTAAGAATGAAAATCATATAGTGCCACAGATCCATGTTTCCTGAAGATAAGGGCTGCTTTCTCAAGAATCACTTTCGTTCACTACACTTACCAAACCTACTAACAATCTTTCCTGGCACTGGTTCAGAATATATAAAGCTGTTTTCTAGAAAGACTTACTTTGGTCACTGCAGGGATGGTTTCCCAAGTAGATGAGAGTTAAGGCTGACCCTATGTGAGAAAACAGAGAGCAAAAAGATAAAAATAATAGCATTGTTAATGGGGGAAAGAGAACAGATAAGGACTTTCTCCATGTGTAGTGATGGGATTGCTTCAGAATTAGCACAATCCACAAGGATACCTTCCAAACCACCAAAAGACCAAAATGGGAAAGGATTAAGGAAAACTGAGAGCTGAAAGCAAGGTGGGATCCTAGATTGATTCAGGGACCGCAAAAGGATCCGAGTGGAGAACTGGTCAAAGGTGAATAAGTTTGGTACTTTACTGTATGGTACCAGTATTAATTTCTTGATTTTTGATAATCTTACTGTGATCAGGCAAGTTGCTAACATTAGGGGAAGCTGGATGAGGACTATGTGGGCACACTCTGTATCTCTTTGTAGCTCTTCTAAATTTTAAATCTAAAATTATTTCAAAATAAGAAGTAAATAAAAGATGAATCCACCAATTAGGAAAGTTGGTCACTATGCTAAGCACATTGCCAGTATAAAGCCAAAGGATGTGCTAATAGTTCTTATTTTCAACTATTGTAGAATTATGGAATTATTATAGGATTAGACTGACAACTCCTATGGAAGAGTTATTAATGTTGATTTAGACTATTTTTTATTATTATTTTATAAATATGAAAACCAAGACAAGATCGATAATGTCATTTCTCCAAGAGTCCACATTTAATTTAATGCAGACCTGGGAAAGGAACGTAGGTTCCTAGGTTTTGTGCTTTTTTTGGCCAATGGCAGAAACAAAATTTAAGTCGCGTGCTGTTTCTCTGCAATCTTAAACTAATCCTTACATAGGAGAAAAGCATCTAATGTGTTCAGAGTACTGTGAGAGACTCTTGCTTCACACCCATGTCTATACTTGTAGCTATATTCCTTCAAAATCCTCACAGTACAATCAAGGAGAGATATCAACTGATTACTATTTTAAAAACCATTAGGCAGTAAAAGTTTCATTTTAATGAGCAATGTGGACAATTATAGAAAGATATGTTTTATATGGAATTTATTGCTGAATTCTCTTCACCAAAATTAACGTTGTAGTATCCCTACATGGATTAGCCCTGGAAGAGCACAAAGAATATACTTAATCCCTTTGTTTCTATAGGTCCTCCTATCTCCATGGACTTGAAGTAGAAGATCATGCTGGTAAACAGAAGCAGCTTACAGTCCTTTCCTTGGACAAGATCCATGTTCTTTTCCCCACAGAACATTACGTTAAGGGAAACTACAGGAGGTTGTTCTTGTAAGGGGTAATATCCTAAAAAGTACAATGGAAGTGAAAGATATTATCTAGAAATGGAGCAAAGAAAAAAAGTGCAGATGAAGAGCCCACACAAACAGTGAAAGGAGCAAGTTTCATGTGTTTCCATGTTTTTAATTGTGGAAAATGTGGAAGGGCTGAATTGAGGTTGCCTCATCAGTGGCTTTGATTTTAGCAGTTTGTATTCCTAAAAACAAGCCTTCCTGAACGAGCAGACCTGACAGCAGAATTGCAGAGTGCAAGTTGCCAAGTGAATAAACACATTTATTTTCCAACTTTTGTCAACATCAAATGCTCATAATTTCCACTTTTTTCTTTCCATCACATCAAATGTTATTATAAGATCTAGACACACTGCAGCTCACCATCAGGTCTTTAGTTTCTTCAGGCTCATCTTACATTCATCCCAGGGCAGTAATTTAATATGCATTTATGAGTTGCTTGACAATCCTGGATTTTTCATTTGGATATGTTGTTTCCTAGAATGATTGCCAGATTGGTATTAATGTCTATAGTGATATACTGACTTTTCCCCAAAAAGCAAGTATCAGTCTTATTAAGCTCCATGGAAAATCATATACTTTTTTTTTGAAGGCAGTGACTGGGACTCCAACTGTTTTGTAACCCACACAGCCCTTGACAAAGTGTTTTCTCAACAGTAGGTGTTTACTAAATTGTAACTGACTGACTCACTAAATAAATGAATAAATGGGAGATTTGTTGAATGAGTTAAACAAATATTTCCAATTAAATCATTGTGAACAATGTCTAGCATTTCTTTCCCAAGAGACAGACATCATGACTTGAAATCATCCTACTCAATGAAAACAGCACACAATCTTTCAAAGTCAGGAAGAGAAATGAAACAAATTTCTGGCCAATTCAAGCCACACATCAACTGTAGCAAAATATATTTTCATTTTTGAAATGTGTAAGTAATACCAACAGTGTTGCTGGCATTTAATCTGAATAAATAAATCAGAACAAATAATTACATGGATTTAAATCTCATGCTCACAGTCTAGTCTCACTTTCTGCCCTCCCTATATTCCTTCACTTGAGCCTTTGTTTCTACCATCACTGTTTCCTGGAATTCCTTTCTACAACATGGTCAACCAAGTTCTCCAACCCATTTTCCAATCTCTGCACTCCTGATTGTTGTTGGCCATATTGGGCCTACAGGTCTTTCCCTCAGTCTTACAAGATTCTCTCGAGAGAATAGGTTCGATTCTCTCAAGAGAATAGGTTCTATTCTGTCCAGAGAATTGGTTCACTGACCAAATACATGTTGAAAATTGACACCCTTTTGGTAGGTTAGTGGTTTGTCTTTGCTCTAGCCCCAAGAATTTGTTATTCTTGAAGGATGAAGCACATGTTCTTGCCTCTGTCTCCTGCTGTCCTTCTGCCCTGAAAGCTCTTTCCCACATAATCTCTTGACTTGCTCTCTCATTTTGTTCAGACCTCTGCACAGATGTGATGTTATTGGTGAGGGTTCTCCTGACCTGATATAAAGTGCCATATGAAGGACAGATTTTTCTTACTGCTGAATCCCCAATTCCTGTAATATGAATCTATTTTTTATTAAAAGACAGATTAATTCAATACCACATTTTCTAAAATTCATAAGGCATACTAACATCTTAAGTAATCAAAAGGAGGCAATTTGCTGAACTTATTTGCCCATGCTAGAACACACTTGGGAAATAACAGGCTGTGATTTATACAGACTGTTCCAACTACTGAAATCCTACAGATTTTATCAGAGGTTACCCATAGTTTACTATAATTAATTTAATAGATACTATTTTTCTCCTCCCCATTTAGCTTTGAACTTACTTCTGCTTAGAGATCACATCAGATACTTGTTTGCATCATTCTGGTGCTTAACATAATGCATGATACACAATAGGCATTTAGATTGTTAATCGATAGATCTTTCTCAGATGTGATCAAGCAGGGTATGAGCGTTGAGATGAAAAGTACATTTACCTATTTTAAATAAATGCTAAAATTTAAACACAAACACTGAATTAGCACTAAAAGGAAATTTCTGGAAGGAAATATTGACCTTTGTTTGCCACCAAATAGGTGTTATTTTATAGCTAGACATACTCTCTCTCTCTCTCTATATATATATATATATTTTTTTTTCCTTGAGGTTTAATTTTGTTAGTTTAGTGGTAGGAAAATAGATATAACATTAAAATAAAAAAGGCAAGACTAATTAGGTAATTTTTACAAAGGCTTCTGCAGAAAATGAACTTATTATTTTGGATATGAAGATTGGGCAAAATATCTAGAATTGTGCCATGGAAAACATAACAAAACCAAAAGGATATCTGAAAACCTTGTATTTCACAATAGATATAATATCACCATGCTTCTAAGAGACTTTTTTTTTTAGATTTGAAGATACTGAAAAGGCCTAGATTTTATCAATTAGAAATGGATAAGTGGGGTTTAAGAGTTCCTTTTTTCTTTTTTCTTAGGAAAAGTACACATGAGAAAGACCCAACCATAAACATTTACTGAGCCAATGCTGGACTTTTAAGAGAATTCTGGTCTTCTCTTTCTTAGGGCAATGACTCAACTAATTGCCCAAGGGACTCACAAAGTACAATATTTTAAGACAGAATTTTTTATTCTTTTGCAGTGGTCACTAAAGTGAAAATTGTTTCTTGGAAACATAGACTCATAGACCTATGTTTAAAAGATATAAACTGCCTCTGATTTTTGTTTTTATTCTCATTTTAAAATTTAAATAAACTAAATTTGTTTTCTTAAAGTAAATGTAGAAAATGTCTTTCCACATTTGAAAGTCATCAATGAACTCTAAAATATTTAAACTTTGGAAATTTTGTAAATCTTAAGGTTGGCAATAATGTTACTGTTCAGAGAGGTATATCAAAACAGAAGCTAAAAGGTACAGCTTCAAGAAGATGAAGACATGAACAAACATACTAAGAACATTATAATAAAGATTTCTGTTCTTATCATTTATAAATATGCTTGTGAAAGTACTGAGGTTAAGAGACATCTTAGCTATTAGTACTTCAGGGAAACTAAATTTAAAGGTATTTGTTTGACTCTCCATGTCTCATTTAATTTTTGTTTTCACATGCTATCAAAAATATTAATATCATACTACTTCTAGGAGACCTTTAATAACAACTCTGTCTATTCTAAGTATTCTATAAAAACAAAGGAATGCAACATAGAAAACAAATCTTTCCTTTTTAAAGTAATGAAAATTTTAATGTTTCAAGTGCCAGAGTGTTGCTTAATCCAGTATTGTCCAAACTGTGCCTTGAGTTGGTTGAGGGAATGTGAGTGATGGCAGGTCCATGAGTCGGGACTGGAACATCTTTGCTCAAGAAGACAGGTGAGGGGAGGTAAGCCACATTTAGGGATAAGTAGATCGAGGTTGAAGGTACACAGGTAAAACCTATAGATAGGAGAACCAAAGACACAGGGATGGGCAGAGCCAGGAATGGGCGGCGCCTTCTGATTTTGATGAGTTTGTCACAGCATGGATAACCACAGAGGGTATTGAAGGATATGAGTCTGTGCCCTCCAATCATAATCTACAAAGTATTTGGTTTCAGTTTTATTGTTACCTATGCTATAACGTTAAACAATAAATACATAAAAATTAAAAATCTACCATGAACCTGCCATTCAGAAATAGTCATTGCTGTCATTTGGAGAAAACATATGCTTTTCCTAAATTGGGATCATGTCTTTTTTTTTTTTTTTTGCACTCTTTTTCCCCCACAAAGAATAATGTATGTGTTCGTTCTCACTTTAATTATGAGTTTGTTACTATTATACTGGAATCTGTTCATATTTTTTATCTTCCCCATCGCCCCTGCACTCCCTAAACTATTAAGGTAAGATCAACACCAATACATAGTGTTCCTTAAACACTTTAGCACAATTTCCAATTATCAACTAAGGCTTAAAAAAAGTTTCCTATAAACAGATTCTAAGATACCAAATACATTTACACATTTAATCTCCTCTACTATCTATGTGAACTCACAGATATTCATGGCTTGCCATCTAAGGGAAGGAGAATATTGGGACATGATGTAGGTTATCAACACATAAAATACCTTTGGAGAAAGCAAAGAGGATTTCAGAAAGAAATTCAAATTGCTGTAAAAATATGCTTCATGCATTCCAAGCAAAGGTCAACTTTGATGGTCTCCATGGACTTGGGTGTCTGGTTTGTCCATATACGGACTGGCCCTGCTCCTTGATTTGGATAAATCTAATTGGAGACCTATCAATCCAGTTCTGTTTCTTGTGCTGTCATGAACAGTTGGCTCTGGCACCAGAATGACATTTGGAAAGAAAGTCTTATTTTAACAACCCTGTTGACTTTCCAAAGTCTCCGTTACCACAGTCATCAGAGTCTAATTTACTCTTGAGGGGCCCTAATCATTCTAGAGTCTGAGCTGGACAGAAAGAAAATAATTTGTGCACTTAACAGAAAGAAAGTCTATACTCCCAAAACAAAACCAGTCAGATGGCGAACTTAGAATTAACAGGCTCTGCTGATGGGCCCTTTTCCCTACTTTTCATCAGTCTGGTGACAGTGGACTCTGGACAGTGATAAATGAGAGGTCAAGCTACCTTCATTTTTCCAGAGGATTATTTCGCCCACAGATAAGGCACAAAGAAGGAAGTAATAGTCAGGATCAGCATGTAAGAAAACAGAAAAGGGTGACTAACAAAAGCTCATTCTCCCAGTCCCTGCCCCACCCCCACTCCAGCCTGGGGAGCACGCCCACCAGTGTGCATAGTTTATTTTTTTTTTCCAGTGAGGAGAAAAATAGAAAACAAAGCTAATACGTGGCAAAGATAATTGTGCCTCACATAATAGATGCTTGTCTTGCTTTTCCTAACTTTATAGGCAATGTTATAAAACCAAAAGAAAAGCTTCCTGCACCATTCTGTTTCATAATACAGAAAGCCCAGAAACACACTGATTTTTAATGAAGAGCAGAGTGATAAGTCTAATGGTCCTTCATTTTGAATTCAGAATTTTCATTCTCCATTTGGAAGAAAGAAGACTTTCTAAACACTGTTACTATTCTTATGATATATTAAGAAAAAAGAGAAGGGATAGTCCTCTAGCAAGTAAAAAACAAGCACAAAAAACATACGTATGTTTGTTATAGGCCTTTCTCATTGCTGATGAAATTTGATTTGAATTGTTCTACTTCCTTTCTCAGTCACTGTCAAACTTATTTTTCACGTGGAAGATAATTTTAGATTCTTTCAATTTTCTCAGGAAAAATGTAATCCTTAATATATAAAGGGCTTTGGAAAGCCTTCATTCCTACTTCAATTATTTTAAATTTGTGGTTTAAAGTAACACAGTGTCTCACTGTGACTGCTTGGAGACTTAGCAATCCTTAGGAATGTCAAATGAAACCTAACAATGAGGATTATTATTGG